TAGCATAGCGGAAGTAAGCAGGCAGCAAGATTACCCTAGAAAGCCATTCATTATATGTTTTCAATATCCCTTAAAAGGGTTTCCCACCCCTAACTACATATTTATACGTATTTACTTGATAATCAATAAAGGAAAATGGCTGCATTATTCTGATTAAAATATCAACTCTACGTGTTACTATAAAATCACATTTAAGAAGCCAGAAAAGGGGAGATAGCAGTTCAGGCTACCCTCCAGCCAATGATATATGATATTTTCAGGCTGCAAGGAGAATAGACACATTAAGAAAATAGTGCTAATGATATTAAAGTACTTTACAAGGCTTGTTACTAAGAGCTGACAAACCTGTCAAGTGTATAATGTAGGAGGCTATCGTAACGTTCTCAGAAAACCATACCTCTACCCCATTTCACTGCAATCTCCTAATAATGGAGCTGCTATAAATTCTAGCCAGCAATGGGACAGCCATGGCTTCTCACCCCAATGTGAGGACATGATAAATATAAAAGAAAATGGCTGTCAGTTTTGGCGCCCGAACCTTATTACAAAGTCTTAATCTTACTGGCCTCAGCACCTTTTATCACCGCCTTGTTATGAGCTGATGGCTTTTTTATTTGCTAGGAGATGGAGGATGTGTCATTTGATGTCCTTTTATGTAGCCACTGCTCTGTCCTCTCATGAAAAAAAAAAACACATTTTATATGTTTATTACAGTAACCGATTAAATGCAAGACTCTCACTGTTGGCTCAGGTACTGTCGGTTTAGGATTTAACAGACTCTGGATTTAAATACATCATTATGAGTATTTATGTGAATGGAACTCAAATAGGAAATTAATTTTTCTCAGCATGGGAGAGAGCGCATTGCAATATCCCTGCTTGTTTATCCTTGCTATTATTGTTATTGGGATTGGCCAATTTTGGTTCCAAGGTTAGCCGGAAATCCCAGCTCTCGCTTTTCTCCTTTCTTTAAACATCTAGCCCAGAGGAAGAAGGCCTTGTAAACACAGTCCAGTTCAAACTCGGCTCGCGTTCAATCAGCTTGATCCTTAAGATGAGATAAATTGCAGTGATCTAAATATTAGTCTAGAAATCTCACAGCTCACTTCCCATCTTCTTCATTTATGGCAAATGAGACTCTCGGCTTCACTGGACACACTGACCCTTCCAGAACCTTTATCCACCGGAAGTGCTGCAAAGTGCCGGCATCAGGTGCTTAAGGAAACCTGACATTGATGGGCTGGTCTCAGGCTGTGGCCAGAGCCTCCATCAGTAGATCTTATCTTCAGTTTGTGTCCATATAATGCGATGGCTCAAGTGTCTAAACACAAAGAGCCTTATCCTGTCTGTTGTGCCTGCCAGCTGAAAATCAACCACCCCTCTCCCATCCCCCGGGGGGAAATTCGCAATTTCATTCAAGGATGGGACTTGCTTGGCTGTAGTCTGCAGACGTTGGAGCACATGCTCACCATACGTTTCTTTTCTCCCAAAGCGTTTGCATTCCAAAGTCAAAGGCCAAGGGTCCCCCGAGATTTATTTCTCTCTGTCTTGTAGGAAATTGCCAAGTTGGTTGCTCTAGTTACTCAGTTCGTGTATCTGTCTCCTAGCTCTGAGGCAGTGTCTATAGGAAGCTGGCAAAACTGGTTTAAAAATAAACGTTCAGTTGTATGACTGAGACTTCCTTTAACTACATCCTACCAAATGACTTATCTCACTAAGTTTTTGCCTTATGAGTTCTTTATTTTACAAAAGGGACAGAATTAGCTAGTAAATTGGGCATTATAGCAGTACAAGTCAGATTCTCTCCTTTAATAAATAATATCTTGAGAAATTGCCTGGGTTACACCAGAATACATTTTGTTCTGGGGTCTAGTTTTGGCCTATGAGAAGGGATGGAAAAGACCTTATGTTCTTTTCTTTGAAAATGAAAGCGTTTGAGCACTTGCATTTCCTGAATGCACCTGACGCAGGAGAGTTAAAATCTCTTTGAGTATTTTTAGAACCTTGACTTTTCACTTGGAATTTTCTGTCCAAGGAGTCTTTATGCTTAAAATGCAGCTTGGACATGAGTGGGCACCCAAACGGCCCCTTCTGTGATTATTCCTGAAATAAGCTGTTCGTGATTTGCCACTCTATGAGGGAAAAGCTGATGAAAAACGTAATACATCGGAAAAGGCAAATTGCATGTCTAGAAATTTAATTGAAAAGGAAATAACCCTCCCTACATAAAGGTTGGCAGTCTCCTGCCCAATCCTCTTCATACCCCTCTTCTTCCTTCTCAATCCAAGTACAGAGTCCTTACCAATGATACCCATACATGCATATTAATGAGAAAAGGCAGTCTGCTGCAAGTAACACAGAGGTTCTTGGCCCCTGAAAAGAGGTGGACAGGTTAACTGGTCTGTGACTTACAGCATCTCCTCTCATTGACTTCCACTCTGTATCCTTCAACCTGCTCCTGAACTGGTGATGATTTCAAAACCCACACTAATAATCACAGCATTCCCACGTATCTGAATCACATGTTCCAGTTTACAAAACCTCTGCATGTATCTTTTTTATGTCATCCTCACCATCACCCTCTAATACAAATGAGTAAACACCAATAGTCTCCTTTATCAGACAAGGGGATTTTTTTTTCCATTTAGTTTTATTAGTTGGAGGCTAATTACAATATTGTAGTGGGTTTTGCCATACATTGACATGAATCAGCCATGGATTTACATGTGTTCCCCATCCCAATCCCCACTCCTGCCTCCCTCTCCATCCCATCCCTCTGGGTCTTCCCAGTGCACCAGCCCTGAACAATTGTCTCATGCATCCAACATGGGCTGGTGATCTGTTTCACCCTTGATAGTATACTTGTTTCTCAGACAAGGGGATTGATGCTAAGTTTGCCAGATAAAAGTCAGGATGATCAGTTCAAGTTCAATTTCAAATAAACAATGAATACTTTTTAGCATAAGTTATATCCTGATATTTCCTGGATTTTTTTTTTATTCTAAAAATTGCTTCTTATTTATCTTGAATTCAAAATTTACCCAGGCACTCTGGATTTTTATCTGCTAAATACATAAATTTCAATTGAGGTCCAAAGAAAAATTGGAGAATTCATATAAGTAATAGATGTCAGGATTGTTCCAAGATGTTAAAAGAGTTGCAAACTTTAAGATTTGTACATATTGTCTCATTTAATTCTGACAGTGTGAAGGTATTCTCCCCATTTCCCAGATAAGGAAACTGAGGGCTCAGGGAATAAGCAACTTGCTCAAAGAGGCAGGATAGGGATATAGTTCCAGACCCATGTCTTTTAAGCACTCCACTGTTTTTAATTCTCTGCTGTGTTTGGGAGCTGGGATTCTGTCTCTTTCTTGTAGAGTCTTCTTTGGTTGCATGTTTCAGGCAACTGCTTTGTGGCTTGCATGCCAGATATTGCAGAGGCCATAAAGGCACTAGGAGAAAGTCATCCACAGATGCCCAGTGAGCACTGGAGTGTCAGCTCCCCTTAGTAGAAGTTTCTGCATGGGATTTTGCACTAAAGGTATCCTCAGTGAGCAACTTGACCCTATCCTGAGAAAGACATCATCAAGTGAAGTCTGACTTGCACCAAATGAGAAGTAAGGCACAGATAAGGGCTCCTCACCATATGCCGCTGGTTCACACTCTTGTGGAGGTCTTGTGGAGAAAAAAGAGCTGTGGCAGTGGGCTTACTCTACAGAGTCAGAAAGACCGAAAGATTTTCAGTCTGAGCTTCCCTGGTGGCTCAGTGGGTAAAGGATCTGCCCGCAATGCAGGAGACACAGGAGACACGAGTTCAATTCCTGGGTTGGGAAGATACCCTGGAGAAAGAAATGGTGACCCACTCCATTATCCTTGCCTGAAAAATCTCATGGACAGAGGAGCCTGGTCGGCCAATGTCCATGGGGTCACAAAGAGTCAGGCATGACTGAGGGAATGAGCACAGCTCAGCAAAACAACCTCATATGTAAACAGAAATGAAAACAAAAAAGCCCCAAATCTGTAGATAGGATTGTTGGGTCAGAAATCAAACTACTGCTATACATATTATTTCCAAAAGGGGGAAAAGGGTGAAAAGGGGAATGAGCTTAAAAAGGTTGAAAACGTTGCAGTTTTTGCATCTGTTCAACATCTGTACTCAGAGGTAGACTTCAGAGCTTTTATTTTTTCCTTCAAAGCTTTAGATCCTGTTCGCTGTAAACTGCCAACAATACACAGTATGGGATCTCTGGATACTCAGAGAAGACACATGATTGTACTCTTGCTGAGCGATCCTTGTACTTATTTATCTGTCAGCATGTCAATGAGTGTTTGAAACATCAGCTCTGAGCCAAAGTTTCGGTGGCTCCAGCATGCTTCCCAGTGGTTTTATTAAGCCATCAGTGCATGTTCTTTCTCTACTTTCTGTGTAGCTCCCTTTTTAAAATGTCACTGTCTTGATTAATTTTCTGTTCCCTTTCACGTTTGGAAAACAATTGTTTGGAAAACAATTCTCTCTGGAGAACCAACTTCCCTGATTCCTGACCACTCCATGGCACTTGAAGTCAAGATGAAAATTAGACTCCCCTCAGAATCTCCACACTCAGAAAAGTGTAAGATGCTGTAATTACCGTATTGTGAGTACCTTGTAATCACATGACCAGCACTATGGTCATGCGTTAACGAAGTCAGAGAACATTGGAAACAATGCTAGATGGTATGTTCGTGGCATTTTACAAGAAGGATCACTCTCTTCTCCCTACTGTGGGTGCTATAGAATTGAAAGCAGTTTCCTCTGTGAATGTAAAAAAGAAGTGTACTGTAAATATGCATATCTGGTGAAATATTTTGGAATTTTCACTAGTTTCCCTGACTCCTACCTCCACCCCTCTCAAGGTTATGATTTAACCCTTAGGCTGGAATCTGAATGGAGGAGAAAATTTCATGAGGGACATGAGAGAAAAGGGTGATCCTGTAAGGCAATGGATGGGAGATGGGAGAGATCAGAGGGAAAGGGGATTGGGCGTTGATATCCTAATCTTCCTTCTCCTAAAAAAAAAGAAAAAGGTGAAAGTGTTAGTCAATCAGTCATGTCCATGTCTGACTCTTTGCCACCCCATGGACTGTAGCCTGCCAGGTGCCTTTACCTTTAAGCCAGAAATGGAAGTTTATATGATAAGTTGATAGGAATATCACAGATGGAGGTCCTTCTCCCAGCTCAGTGTCTGGACCTGGTAAGGGTTGTTCAGAGCCTTCACACACAGCATCTCAGGGCTGGCCTGTGGCAGCGAGCTCGGAAGTAGCAGAGTCAGAGAGAAGGAGGGCGCGGTTCCTTTTCCCTCTCTACCTTCCCACACACCTGGAATGGACCTAATTTGGAGAGGCGCCCACGCGCCCCCTGGAGATCGGCTGAGGGACAGTCAGCCTGCTGTGGGGCACTCTGGGATTCTAAGGCAATGTCGCAATTCTGAAGTACAAGCCGTCAGAGGCACAGCCCAGACTCAGGGCCAGATGGATGATGTGCTGGCAACTCAGAGGAGCCAGTCACACCATGAGAAGGATGCTGTGAGGCTGACTGGGGAGCACCAGTGGGCTTGACGAGTCTGAATGAGACAGGCTGTAAGTTAGATCAGACAAAGGGTGCAGACAACACATGTAGCCTTCATGCTGAGACTCACCTCTGCAGGAAGCAGCTCAGAGCAGCAACTTGGAGAAAGAGGCCAGAGGTGCCCTGAGGACGCAGGGACCCCGTCTCTCCTTGAACCACGAGAACAGAAGACATATTTAGACACCAACGCAGAGAAGAGATAGGAGGATGGGGTACCTCCAAATGACTGGAAATTTTATCTAAAGGAGATTACATTGTCTTAAAAAACACTTCAAACTATGCTGTTAAGTTGAGATCACTTACGCTGTTCGATTGTTCACCATTGTTGGACCCTTTCCCCTCCATCAAGCAGAGGAAGAAAGGACTCATGAGAAAAATCAAACAAATTAGTTCAAAATATAAAATAAGTATATGAACCTCCATATGTGCTTTGCGTTTAATCTCTTGGTTGTGTCTGGCTCTGTGCCACCCCGTAGCCCACCAGGCTTCTCTGTCCATGGGAATTTTCCAGGCAAGAATACTGTAGTGGGTTGCCATGGCCTCCTCCAGGGGATCTTCCTAACCCAGGGATCGAATCCAGGTCTCCCGCATTGCTGGCAGATTCTTTACCATCTGAGCCACCATGGAAGTCCACATGAACTTGTGTAGTATTTTGCAAGAAACTGGCTGAAACTGTTACACATGCTTATGTGATATGCAAGTGTATGTTTCGAAGATCTCAATGCTTCATGAACCAAGAGTTGACCTACTCAAGGCACACTTGGAGGAAACCAATAGTCTAATTAGAAATATTAAGTACCTATGCGAACAAAATAATAAAAAGAAACTTTGCCAGATAACATAAAACACTATTTAATCAAATGGAAAGTGGAGATGTATGTTACATACAAAAATTCAATATTATGAAGATATATTTTTCTAAGTGTATCTATAGCTTAAATATAATTCAAATGAAAATTGTGGTAAAATATTTAATGGCATGTCATGTTGATGCTAAAAGAATATGTACAAAAATAGTCAAGAAAGTTTAGCAAACTAGAGCATAAATGGGACCTTCCTCTATTAGAGTGCCAGCCATACTGCAAACTTATAATAAAATTGTGGTACAATTTTGTATAGCTATATCAATGGAATATATCAGTGGAATATATCAATATAATATAATATATATCAATATTATATATATATATCAATGGAAGAGAAAAATAAATTTAAAAAGGCCCATATGCATATGATAATTTATTTATGATAAAGTTTACATTTTATATTCACCTGCTTCCGTAGTGGCTCAGACAATAAATAATCTGCCTGCAATGCAGATGACCCTGGTTTGATCCCTGGGTCAGGAAGATCCCCTAGAGAAAGAAATGGCAGTCCACTCCAGTACTCTTGCCTGGAAAATTCCATGAACAGAGGAGCCTGGAGAACTATAGTCCACAGGGTCACAAAGAGTGGCACAAAACTGGACGACTAACACTTTTGCCTACATTTTATATTAATAGGAGAAATAAAACTGTTTAATTTTTGAACTGAATAATTAATTAGAGCCTTAAGAAAAAACAAAATTCAAAGTAAACCTCTACTTCACAGCAGAAAAAAAAATCAACTGTAGGTGTACCACAGAAGTACATACAGTTGAAACCATAAAATATTAAAAATACTAGAATAAAGTTCTGAGCTACTTTCACAATTTTACATATACATGAAATGTACTTGCTTGGAAGAATTTAATGTATTAAACTAATCCATTATATTAGAGAACATATGAACATATAAAGAGTTACCACACATCATTAAGAAGATAATATACCTCTTTGATAAGATTCATTAAGTTGAATTGAAATAACTTATTTTCTCTTTGTTTTTTAATATAAAATATCTAAATAGATTCTATCTTTAAAAGATTAAAACGATCAGGATAACACCTATGTGAGACTCTCCTTTCTCTTTTCACAGACTCATTTCCACCTTCTCCCCTGCCTCCTAGAAATATCACCTTTCTACAGTTTGCTTTGCATCCTTTCCAGTGCTCCTTGGGCACATTTATATATGGTCTTTTCTGCATGTAAGCATACATGCATTACTTGTTGACTTCTGTCTTTTTTCTCACTTGAGATATCTTGGAGATCTGTCCACACTAGGCATTTTTAAGGCTTGTCTAGAATCCTATGGCACAGACACATCAAAACTCTGTTGCTGTTGTTCTTTAGTTGCTAAGTCATGTCTGACTCTTGTGTGACCTTATAGACTGTAGCCCACCAGGTTCCTCTGTCCATGAGATTTCCCAGGCAAGAATGCTGGAGTGGGCTGCCATTTCCTCCTCCAGGGGATCTTTCCAACCAAGGGATTGAACACGCGGCTCCTGCATTGACAGGAGGATTCTTCACCTCGGAACAACGAAGGAAGCCCTCCTCAAAACTTGAATAATCACTTTAACTTCATGAACATTGAGGCTATTTGTAGTGTTTTACTATTACCAACAAATCTACTTTGAAAATACTCATGAACAATGTTTCTGTGGCCATGGCAGTAGTTCTTTACAACACATTTCTAGAAGTGAGGCTGCTGGATCCATTTCCATTTGAGAGTACAAAACTTCCTGTCAATTCCTTTCAACAGTAAAGGAGTAGGTATCCTTGCCAAACTCTACTTATTAATATCTTGGCAATTATTGTTAAAATTAGAAACAAAAATTCATGTTTCTTTATTTGCTTTTGTCTCATGACTTGTTTCATAAACATATTGTTTTATAAATTATGTCATTTTACTGTTTCATACATTTATTGGCTTTTTCCTGATAATTCACTCATCATGATTTGCTTATTCTCCTATGGAATTTCTACTGATTTGTAAGAACTCTTCATATACTAGAATATTAATATTTTCTTTCAAAGCATTACAAATATTTTCCCACAGTGAATTTTCAAATACAAGTAGTAGTTTAGTTAGGAGTTATGATCAACCTAGACAGCATATTAAAAAGCAAAGACATTACTCTGCCAACAAAAGTCCGTCTAGTCAAGGCTATGGTTTTTCCAGTGGTCATGTATGGATGTAAGAGTTGGACTACAAAGAAAGCTGAGTGCCAAAGAATTGATGCTTTTGAACTGTGGTGTTGGAGAAGACTCTTGAGAGTCCTTTTGACTGAAAGGAGATCCAACCAGTCCATCCTAAAGGAAATCAGTCCTGAATATTCATTGGAAGGACTGATGTTGAAGCTAAAGCTCCAATACTTTGGTCACCTGATGCGAAGAGCTGACTCATTTGAAAAGACCCCAATGCTGGGAAAGATTGAAGGCAGGAGGAGAAGGGGACGACAGAGGATGAGATGGTTGGATGGCATCACCAGCTCAATGGACATGAGTTTGAGTAAACTCTGGGAGTTGGTGATGGACAGGGAAGCCTGGTATGCTGCAGTCTATGGGGTTGCAAAGAGTCGGACACGACTGAGTGACCAAACTGAACTGACTGAGGAGTTTATTAGGGGATAAAGAGAACATAATTAGGCATGAAGAAATATTGATTATTTATTTGAATTGAAGGGTTATATAATACACTTAATTTGTATCAATTCAGGTTAAACATTTTATGTATCGAGACAGCCTTACCAAAATATAAATACAAGAGAGCCCTTTAGCCATCTCATACTAGCCAAGTCTTATAAGGTAGAAGAGCATGGCATGTGGCTGCCTACACTATACTGTCCACAGTATGAGAGGCCTAAACAATGAGACCTACTCAAAAATAATAACTATCATCTGTCTGCCATGTTCTGTATAATTTCTTTCAATAAAGTTGTATATGTGTGTTTTGGGAGAGGGAGGTTTTGTTGAACTGAAAGTGGGAAGGGAAGATGGGAAGGTGGTTAAAGCAAGGTGTGCGTGGGCATGCTGCTGACATCTGAAGGGTGTCTGGCATTGCCCATGTTTCCACACATGTCTTAGCCCTCAAAGATGACATTTTTGAGATGTGTAAGGCCAGTTTGTTCTCTTATATGATATTAAATGACTTGTTCAAACTCAAGAACTGGTAAAGAGGATGCTTCTTTCCTTTCCCCTCCCTCTTTTCTATCTCATATGCCTATAACGGTAACTGCTTATCCAATAGGACATTAAAAAAAATTAATTGATCAGATTACTGAATTGATAACCATAGTGATCATATAAGCATAAAAAGGTGACACAGATTCTTTTGTTAACCCATTCAAAAGACATGTTTTTTTCTTTTTTTAATTCAGTCACTCAGTTGTGTCCAACTCTTTCCACCCCCATGGACTGCAGCACACCAGGCTTCCTTGTCCATCACCAACTTGCAGAGCTTGCTCAAACTCATGTCCATCGAGTTGGTGATGCCATCCAATAATCTCATCCCCTGTCGTCCCCTTCTCTTCTTGCCTTCAATCTTTCCCAGCATCAGGATCATTTCTAATGAGACAGTTCTTCCCATCAAGTGGCCAAAGTATTGGAGATTCAGCTTCAGCATCAGTCCTTCCAATGAATTTTCAGGACTGATTTCCTTTAGGAGGGACTGGTTGGATCTCCTTGCAGTCCAAGTGACTCTCACGAGTCTTCTCTAACACCAGAGTTCAAAAGCATCAATTCCTTCTTTTTTTTTAACTTTTTTTAAAAAATCAACCAATCTGTGTTAGGCAAGTAGTGAAGAAAGGTGGGAGAAGTAAAGACATTTTCTGCCTTGCCTCAAGAAGTTGACCAATAGGCGCAGGGACTCAGTCCTAAGTCTGGTTCCAGCTCAGAATATGGCATCTACCATTTAACAGGAGGGATATAAATATGTGTTTGGTCAGTGGGACTCAGATTTAGGATTTAATGGTCCAGTAACAAAAAGAAAGACAAAAATAAATAATAAGTGACACATGATTGTCAATATTCTAATTTAGCAAGTAAGGCTATTAAGAACTATTAATCAGATAGCAACAGTAAATATATATGGACCCAACATTGGAGCACCTAAATAACTAAAGCAAATATTAACAGAACCAAAAGGAGTCACATTCTTGTATTTCTGTCTCTACAATAATAGTAGGAGAAGTCAATACAATATTATTACAGTAATTGTAGGTGATTACAATACTCTGTTTTCCACTTTGGATAGATCATCCAGACAGAAAATTAATAAGTAAACAGAGTGCTGGAATAACACTATAGACCAAATGTACCTAGTAGACACATACTGCACATTACATGCAACAGCACCAGAATACACATTCTTCTCAAACTCA